TTGATATTCATAATCTGTATATGGTTTGTGATTATTCCAATGATTTAATACATAGTCCTGATATCTGAACGTATCTCTTTCGTGTTTTTGATAAGCATGATAATCAGGTCCGTGTGTTTGATGATTATTATGATCTGAAGTTCGATGATTATCACGATCTCCAACATTGTAATTATTGTAATAATCAAGATTGTTATAATCATCAGGATATTTATTATCATAATTATTTCCTTCATTAGTTTCATAGTGATCATGGGGATTTGGAGGGTATCTATAATCAGAGTGTTCGTCATGTCCTCTTGGTTCTTTATTGTCATCATATTCATGGTGTGAATAATCTTCATAATTATAATCATAGTTGTTATAACCATCATTTGAATAGTGATTATATTCATTCCCGTTATTATAATCATTATACGGTGAGTATTCATTATAACCTTCATAATTTCCGTGTGAATAATCATCATTATATCTATCTGAACTTGGATAAAATTCTCTATAGAAATAATCTCTTTCATTACTAGAAATTAATGTTACCAATGTGGAAAAATATAAAAACCAAATAAATTTCATCATTTCACTGTATCCAAGCGCAAATCTTATTTACTTAATAAATTGATAAGGTTAATAATAGTAATATTAATAATAATAATAAACAATAATAACAATAATGAACTCAATAGACTATTTAAAGTTCAACTCTTTTATTTCATTTGTATTATGCAATGATATATTCGTAAATAAATGAATTGAATCTACGTAACAATTAAATTTCATTGCACCGAGATTCGAATAAATTACATATTTCATAATTGAAATCAATATGATTTATTTAAACAAATTACACAAGTGAATAGTAATTTGTGATCTGGTTTAGTATTTAGCTTAAATTGATAATATAAAGTATTAAGCTTATTTCAATAGTTGAGATCATGAGTCATTTGGAGCTAGACCACCATGGAAAGCCAGGAAGCACTGGACGGCCGTTTCGTCCTATTGTGGGACTCCTCAGCACTGCGCATTCATCATGGGATTCGAACCCAGGACCTATCAGTCTCGCCCGCGAGGGCTTAACCAACTAGACCAAGTTCAGATAGATATAATGATTATTATTCACATGGAAATTATGAAGGTTATGATGAATATTCACCGTATGATGATTATAATAACGGGAATGGATAAGACGAAACGGCCGTCCAATGCTTCCACGTTTTCCATGGTGGTCTAGCTTCAATTGACTCATGTTCTCAACTATTGAAATTACTACAATCTCCACAAAACCCCTTCTGATATAAAGCTTATATTATTAATTATTTCTTACTAAATTTTTATAAGTCATGATTATTCTAATAGTAAATCTATTGATGTAGATAAAAAGACTTCCTAGTTGGAAACCAACAAAGAGTACAGGTGAATTCCAAGTTGTCTAACTGAGGAACTGTGCTCATTAGTGGAGTGCTCCAGGGTATAGTTTTGGTGCCAGTGTTATTCTTCCTGTCTGTACATGACCTTCCTCCTATCATCATCAGTCTTGCCATATACTGACAATGTCAAGAGATGGAGAGGGATACGAAGTAAGGGTGATTGCTTAGAACTTCAAAATGATCTGGAGAAATTATCTGAATGGTCTCTAACTTGGCAGTTGCCGGTAAATACTTCCAAGTGTTGTGATGCATATCGGTCATCAAGGTACAGATACATGCATGATGAACAACACTGAGCTACCTATTGTCTAGACACACAATAACTAAGGGGTCATCGTTAGCCAAGAGTTAAAGACTATTGCACAATGCCGTGCAAAAGCCGCCAAAGTTTTGGAACTTTATGGTCATTACGTAGGGCTTTTAGTCATGTCGACGCTAAAACTTTTTAAAACTTTGTATACAGTGTTCATGCTTAAATAATGACAGTGAGCCTATGGAAAAGGTTCAGAGAACAGCAACCAAGCTGATTACCGGAATAGCGAAGCTCCCGTATGATGCTCGACCGGCCAAGCTAAATCTATTCCCGTTGTGATATCGGAGAACTAGAGGCGACTTGATTACAGCTTTCAAATTGCTTAGTGATAAATTTGCACCTGATATGCCCCCATTTTTCTTGTCTTCCAAAACAGAGAATTTACGAGGACACTCTAAAAATGTTCACAAGCCCAGAACAAACTACTTGTCGGCTGACTATCGACATTCCTATCAAATCATCAACGAGTTGAATTGATTGAGGCTCCATCTGTCGACTCTTTCAAAAGAAAGTCGGATCAACTGAGAGACGATTGTTTCCAGGACTAACACAGGCAATCAAGCCCTCTATCCTTTCCAAAACGAAAATAAAACATATTATGGGTTTTTTCATACTCTTGTTTCAGTTACATATCCTTCCAATGAGTCCTACATCCAATAGAGTAATTGTCATGGACTTTACAGCTAATCACTCGTAACTAAAATCAAGTCTCCCTTGAACACCTATGTTATTTAAGTGGCACTATTTTAAGCGTAATTTGCAATATTATACTTCAAAAAGCGACTGAAGAAAATGAGCATCTGCTTCCTATGCGAACGTGAAATTGTAGTGAAGACGAACACAGATGAGTACACATACTTGGTAAAATAGAAAAATTTTACACTAATACTCCATTTGCAAAATGTTCAATAACTGTCTCAGACTTCATTGTTCTTGCATTTCCATACCAATTGTTTTCTGTTTCCGTTCTTTCCTCTTCGATCTTCGAACTTTCTGCTACCAGACATTTTATTCCTGACTAGCGTTATATACTACTTCTGTCAATATAAGTAGAACATAACACAAAATTATTGTTTTGAATAGACCTTTAACAATGATTCTGAGACAAAGCATCCATTCTTCTTACATTTATTAAATTGATTATGATATTTTGTAAAAGTACCAAACGAGCTTAGTCAATGTTAACTAAGTGCAAATTACAGATTAGAATGCAAGTTTAAAAACCTATGAAATCCACAAAACTACGCCTCACAATTGTCGTCGATTGAATGTAGAATTGAGCCAATTCATCCAGGAACTTTTCGTTAGATAGTAAATCTACTTAATAAAATTCATTCAGTACATAAGACGGTGCTGAATTTTGAAGAAATTTAACATTAAATTACATTAATATGAATGTTTCATACAACTTTATAGCCACTGTTATAAAATTCAAGAAGAATTTTTTTCATTTAAACAAACTTTTAAAGTTTTAAAATAATCCATTGAGTCATTGAATAAGAATAAAAAGAATTCGACGAGATCATTTACTTACGCTGTACATTCATATTTATAGTTATATGGGAAACATATGTCTATAGAGGGATAGAGATGTTTGCATCATAAATTGATGCGAGACTCCATAAAACTATAAATACAAATCGACAGCTTAAATAAATGATTTCGGCAGAAAGAAAATTTTCTTCGCTTAATTCTCTTTATTCTAAAGTTTTAATTTATTTCCTACTCAACACTTGAAGTTTATGAACTAGTTCAAATGATTATACTAATTAACTTGAGTGAGAAGCCGCCACCATTGGAGTTCAATCCGTGTAGGGTGTGAGGCAGTGACTCACCGAAGACAGTGGAAGATGGTTGTACAATTTCGTGGATTGGTTGAAGTCAAACAGTAACACCACTGAATGATGGCTCAGTGGTCTAAATGTTAAGAGTTCGCACGTGAGACTGAATTTTCTGTGTCTCAATGGTGAGTACGGGATCGTGTTGAGTACTTATGTGGAGAATCGTACTAGGACGAAATGGCCATCCAGTACTCTTAGGTTCTCAATTAGTGGTCTAACATTGATCGACTCATGATCTCAATACAAACAACACAACCCCAACTTTATTTAAGATTCTAGATTAAAACAGAAACTTTTAAAATACAAAACTCAACAGAATGATTGTCATGATGGAATTCAACAGTGAAAATACTACAATCCTCATACTAATAATTGCAAGAATACATTTGTAAGTGTATACGGTTGACCATTTAAAAAAGTACACTGATCAATTAGTTAATGGTAATTATTTCTCATCAAGTCTTGTTATTACTAATAAAATGTAACATAAATTAGTTGTAAATGATAACCAATCAAATGATAATTCTAGTTTGTTTACTAAAGTGCATACTATTTCAAAAAGTTTCACATATATCTATTTATCGCTGTAATTAAATTAAACACCGAATATGTTTTATTCAATGTTCAATATTCGATAAGAAAAGAGATAGTTTACTGTTTATTAACATAATAATATGTTTATTCCTATTGTAATTAGAATAATTGAGGAATGAAAATATAAGATGAATATATAGGTGATAAAATGGTTTAAATACTTACGTTTGTTACCCCTCATGGAGGAGCATAGATCGCCCATCAATATTCCCTATCGAACTCTATCCTGAGTAGATAAAATTGTTTACATAGTTTAAAAGTAATAACTTTTAGATTACAAGTATGATTATAAATTAGTATTACGCTTGTATAAAAAAATGTAGTTAGAATGACATAACTGCGAAATATTTTTAATAGAACATTGAGTAATTATATTTAAGTGTTAAGGTTCAACGAGCTAACTGTTTCATATTTAACTATGTAATGAACATTTTAATCCTTAACTTTCCAAATAATCTAAGTTTTTCAGAATAAAATATCAGAGATTTCCCGTTTGTATTCTCTTAAATTAGTGTCACTCGTGTCATAATGAATAGAATAGCCGAATATCATATTTGGTATATTTTAATTAAAGTATATATGTCTCCATAAATATTCTTGAGTCTTATCTTCAACCGCTTTCTAATCAATTACGATATGAGTGCTTCAATCAGGTTGCTTCATTCAATCTTATTGAAACGAATGATTTAAATCTGAAATAATTTCCGATATGGAGATTTGATTATCACATGATCATATATATATATATATATATATATATAAGAGCATATGCTATTCAATGATTTCATCCTCATAAATTAACACTTCATCAGAAGAAACATTCGGAAAATGAATATTTTACATTTTTATCTGCTAGGAGTTGTTTTACATGTATCCAGTCATAGATTTGTTTACAACAGAACACATATATTCATATCTTTTGTAAATGATTCTTATAATACATCTGAGAATTTAGATGAGGAACAATTTTTTAAACATTTTAATGCGTCGTTTCTAAATTTTTTGCCAAAAGACCAGAATACAAACTTTTCATTAGATGCTGGACTAAAAATCAAGACAGAAAATAGAACGATTAATTTACATTCGAATGAAACGGATTTTAATACTGAAAAAATGAATTTTCCTAAAGACACATGGCCTCAATTGAATTTTTCCAGTTTTCCGTTCATGATGAACGAATCTGATGATCAACAACATGAGAGAAGTGTTGAATTTAAAAGTCAACAGTTGGAAACAAAACTCAAAGAAGTAGCTAATATGAGTGATCACATCGAAAAATCTCTTTTTGAATCAAATATAACGACTAGCTGGTTATTTATATAGTATATCACATATTGAAATAATCATGAAAGCTGCTTCACTATTATTATTATTAAGAGGAGAAATGTAACACTATACAGTAATTATGTTCATTTATCAAAAATGAATAGAAACATTTTAGATCTGAATAATTGATTTTTATATCGGTTTCTAATATTGGAATAGAGAAACTAAGTTAAGCGAATTGTATATACAAGATATGAGACCTAATTTGAGTTAAACTGCTGATAATTATCAATTTATAACAAGACTAACACTCATTTACTCAATACCTAGTCTTAACAGTGTCACTTTTATTACTAAAATAAATGCAGTAATCCACTGTTTTTACTAGTCCATTGTTATTTGGAACAACTTTTGACTGACTCTAGATTGACGTCCGGTAGTTGGATTCCAATTTCGGGCTTATTGAAGTTTCTTAAGAAAAACAATTTTTCACAAATATAAGTTGACTTAAAATGACAAACGCTTTGCTTGTAAAATGTTTCTTATTAAGAAAATAGTATCCTGTCGAATTAACAAATAGAATTTGGACGATGTATTTTCCTTGAAGTGTTTATTTATGCCGTAATTAGCTTGTATGAAAATTGATCAACCAACAAACACTAGGAATGTTGAGGCTGGACATAAGGTACTTGGTGGAAAATCAGTTTATATGGTTTCAAATATTTATTGATGTCTTGGAAGTATAGCTCTTAAACATTTGGGGACCATCGAGTTAGCAATTCTGACGTTAGATACAGAGTGATAGGTAATTAACGCAACTAAATTGATAAGTGATGGATTTTTATCGACCGTTATGATTAGAACATATATTACATATGCCCACCCACTAAACACCTAGATGTATGATGATAGCTGAGTAGGTTGGGAGGAAGCTAGCAGGAAGTAACCGAAATGTGGAGTCAGTTCACTAAATAGTCGACTGATAGTTTGAGCCATCTTGATAGATACAGATTACGTGGCTGTGCTCTGTGTGATAGTCACTATCATTGGCTGAATATTTTATGTGATTCAGTCAATATAGCGCTGATGCATTCCTAATCTTAAATCCCAGTACCTCTTCATACAGACATTTGAACCCCGTCTTTTATATCGTATTTCCACGGTCTGATCTTTCTTTTTATCTTTGTTTCTACATCGTTTCGATCTATTTTTTTAGTTTCATCTTTTCGTGCTTATCTAATATGGTAACTTGGGCCAACAAATAAGCACTTATGATATCTTACAGTCTATCGGTCAACGATCCTAATTATAAAACTTTTTCATAAAATTCAATAAAACTCAATAGACTATTTAAAGTTCAACTCTTTTATTTCATTTGTATTATGCAATGATATATTCATAAATAAATAAATTGAATCTACGTAACAATTAAATTTCATTGCACTGAGATTTCAGTAAATTACATATTTCGTGATTGAAATCAATATGATTTATTTAAACAAATTACACAATTGAATAGCAGCTTAATCTGTGAATTTAGTTCTGTATATTTAACAACTTAATCGGATACATTCTTTAGATAGACAATATAGAAACTACTTGACCATAATTATCTAAGTTTACATAATTTTACTTGTCAAATGTATTAGGAGAATTATCACTTAATTAGACTCTGATCGTATCTTGTTTCAAAATATTAAAATACTACTGTTATTATTTAGTAGAAGTTTTAAGAACCAGATTTACGTCGAAAAGTATCTTATTATTGTGTTGTCTGATGATACATTACTGTATTGAAATTTTATAAGCATAAATGCATTCAGTTAAAAATGCGGCAATGAATGGGATCTGACAATATGTTCATATACATATGAAATTCTTGACTACAATTCTAAATAGTTTAAGTTCTTGTCATTTTAAAATTGGGCAATGACCTGTAAGTATGTTTGATTACATATTAGATATATGTAATGGTATTAAGAAATTAAAACTGATAATAAAGCTTCCTTTTGTATTGGTTGTTTGAATATTCTCATTTATGTTTAGGACTTCAGTTGATCAGTCTCTTATTGACGTATGTGCATCATGTACATATTTCCTCGATATCACCCTAAGTCACAAACATTGTAAGCAAAGGTGAATGGTAGCTAGCAGTGGAATCTAGGACTCAAGCCTCGTTAAGTTTTGGACTCGTCAGCTCGGTGTGTCTGAACCCCGGTGTTGATGTCCAGTCTGAGACTCGAATCCAGTACCGTTCTTTCGAAACGCCACCACGTTATCTTAAGTAACTTGTGAAATAGAGTGAGGTTCAATTCATATTGCATTGTTCGTTTAAGCCTTTCCATTGATATTTATGATTGCAATTGATCATCCAGCTAACGATTTTCAAACAAAACGTAACGCTCGTCCCGGATTCCACTTCTATCCACCATCCATCTTTGCTGATGGTAATAGTGTTGACTTCAACTATGAATACAACGATCACTGACTTGATTTACCATCAAAATTTTAGATAATTTTATCATCCTCATTTGAAATGTCTTAGAGCTAAATATTGTAATTTACATTTCACTTAAATATTTGTTCTGAATCTGGGAATTCTATCGATGATTATTTATTAATTAACAAAGAAGTGATCCTTCAGGTTAATACTATACGTTAACAAGAAAACTGAGATTTTTTGGGACCTTTTATAACGTTCATGTAAAAGGATGTGTTACTCGTCTAAATGTATTTATTTTGCTACTAAGCTTGATTATTTTTCTTTGAATCCCCTAATAAGCTGATTGCCTTGACATTACTGACAGGTGGTATCAAATTTGGAAGAACAAAAATGTTTCTGTATTTTCAATAATCAACCATCTGGTACCATACCATAACAAAAACTGTCTACAAAACCTTTCTGATTTCTTCAAGCTACTTCTTAAATCTTTGGTCAACATTACAATGTCCCTCAAATTTACCGACTACCCCACATTGAAATATGACATAACAAGTAACACGGTTTTCAGCGATTTTAAGTACTTTTTTATCAGTTATTCTGTTCGCATCTTTATAAAAAATATGGGATCGTATTTTTTAATAAATAATGTAACATCAGCTCAACCTTTAACGTCTCTTGATGATGACGTCATCGGCATTGTCGTTGTTGTCGATGTTTGGTTTTCCTTTCACTCTGCTTTTCCACTAGGACTATGAGTTGTATAATTTGTTTCATTGGTTTGTTGTCTTTCTAACTCATACTGTTCATGCCAGCTTTCGTCCCGATCCCTCCCTGAATAATAATCACTGTCATAATATCTATCGTTTTCATTTTTTTCACCAAATATATCATTTCCATCACTCACATTAGATTCATCATTAAAATCATAATTATACCATCCATTATCATCTGAATATATTTCACGACTTTTATTATCAAAATAATAGTCATTCGTTACATTTGCTTCGTTGAGTGGATCTTTTGTATCTTCGTATGAGAAGTATGACTTTCCAGAAAATGCATCAAATTCTTGAGGAAATGTTGCATTATTGTAATCATCAGTAGAATTAGAAGAATCATCTCCATAGGAATCGTATACAACACTTGATCTACTTTCAATAACTGTACGACGGGATAAATAAAAACTGATTTTTAATAAAATAATTATGCATTCAAAAATTATTTTGATTTTTATCTTCAACATGTTCATTTAATGCAATAAAACTCATTCAAAATGTAAATACTTTTTCTTATTGTTGGAGAAATTACATTGTTCATAGTGATCTTTATATTAATGTTTAGTGCGAAATACAGTCATATGATTGTGAAAGTCCATAAAAGAGGAATTTTTTTAAGCCATAAATCAATAAAATTACATCAAATACTTTAAATTATGTTGAATTTTTATAAGCAAAGATGGATAGTGACTAGCAGTAGAATCTAGGACTTGTGTTTTGTCCTATTCGGAAGTCGTCAGCTGAATGTACCTGTATCTCAGAGTTCATGCTCACTCTGAGACTGGAACCTAGTGCAGCTCGCCTCAAACGCCATCGCGTTATCCACTTAGCTACTAAGTTCTGAACTTTATTCATAATGTGATTAAACATGATCATTTTTCACAACATTGTGACTGTAATCCAATTATTTTAAATTTACCTTTAATGCCATTCAAAGATTTTTAATTAATATGTTGAATTAATCAAAGTCAAAAGTTTAAGCCAGTAGATAACAATTCAGTAGTGTAAAAGATAAGCACTCACAGGGCATCTTGATGATACTGGATTCAATTTAAGGTTATGGATTTGTATTGCTACGTAATTGAATAATTCGACAAAACAGCTATTTACTGCCTAATGATTTTCAATGGTTGTCTGACGAAAAATAGTCTTTGATGTGGAAATTGTAACTCGATTTTTTACCCATCATAAAATGTTTTACCTGATTATTATTCAGAACTAAATTTGTCATCTGTTTTGAGGGAAAATAACTTACAAATATGATCGCGCTAGAATAATTAGTGTTTTTGAAACATTAGGATGTTTGACATTTCATTTACAAGGCATATTAATATAAATACCTACATATTATCTATTTACAGAAAATGAATTTGGAAAACTGTCACCTAAATTATCTCAATATATGGGTATATTTAAATAGACAAATGGAATCTTATCGGTATAGGGATATGTGGAGTTTGCAGTATTTTCTCAGTTTAACTCACGTGTCAATCTAACCTAGACAACCATTGAAAACACTATAGCATTAGGTGGCCGACTTGTCCTTGTATGGAACTCCTCGGCAGTACACACTCACGATCCCGCATACTGGATTTAAACCCAGGACCTCCGGTCTTGCTTGCAAACGCTTAACCTCCATACCAATAAACCGGTATCCCTACACTGATTTATTATCTCGTTGAAGTAGTTTTGGTGGGATTGGTTTTCAAGTGCGAGATTGCGAAAGAACACTGCTGAGGAATCCCATATAAGGACGGAATGGCCGTCTAGTGTTCTCAGGTTTCAAATGGTTGTCTATCTTAGATCGACTCATGAATTCAACCATGGAAATGGAATCTCATTTACCATCTGTATTATCGTATGCATAGTATCATTGGTGCAAATTGCAATAATAACAAATGTTTTCTCAGAAAACAAACTTAAACAAAGATTAGTAACCCTTGTAAGTTCATAGATGAAAATATTTTCAAAAACGTAGAATAAGAAAATTCTGAATTTGAAGTTGGTTTTTGACAAGGTGTAAATAATTAAGAAGTTTCATACGAGGACAGACTAACTGCCTAGCTCCTTCAGTTTCCAACAGTTTTCTAGTTAATATTACTTGGAGAAGAAAACTAAAGTTAGAATTACTGTCAGAAACATACTTTGTTTATATAGGTGATCAAACAGTTGATCTATTTAAGACACATCCTATTTTTCGCTTCTCTAAAAAACAGAAACCTCAAGTTAAGTTTACGAATGAAAATCTTTTTTCAATATGTGTTAAGCGATAAGCATCGTCTAATTATTCGTATACAGATTTGAGCGTACACTTGGTTCTCTGGTGCAAGATAAATTAAGAGTAGCTAGTTATTTTTTGTTACACATATGAGACAACATTTAAACTTGCTTGTAGAACAGAGCGGAGAAAATCAGTTTTGAATTTGAAACCTGGGACATTGACATAACTTAGATTACTAAACTAAACCACGCATTGGTTGTGACTGTGTCTGAGTTTGTCTAAATCTTTCGAAATTTTATCGTTTACTACTTTATACAATATTAGAAGCTATGGCTATGCACAGAATAAGACTCCAACTCTGTAAATGAAAGGACTACATTCTATGACTTGATTTATCATTGTAGTTACCAAAATCGTTGCATTTCTTAAACTTTCATATCGAAATGCTTTTCTGATTCTTTTGATAATTAGATATATTTTTTTGTTAACTTATTTCAATTATTTATTTACTATAAAGAAGTGGCTTACATTAAGTCATGGGAGACACAACCAAAACAAAGAAGTAAACAATGATAAATTTAAGGTCAATACGAACCAATCAACATCGAGGTGCACAGAACGAGCTATGAAACACATATGGAGAAATTCGAACACTTCACTTCTATCTGAAGTTTGTGCTGATGATGTCGTTCAGAAGGACGATGAAAACTCCACGACCAAACCATCCAGCTCAGAGAACAAAACTCCACCAAAGTCACGAAACATCAGAAATACAATTATTTTACTCATTGGGATATAACAAGCAATATATTTATTACTGACGACTTCAGTTTGTCTGATTAGGTGGAAAATAAATTAGGTCACATCTGAGATATAACAAAAAATATACATATTATTAACTTTCCACGCAATGCTCAACTTATTTGAAACCATCAGATCCAACTTTGTAAGCAACGATGGATAGTGGCTAGCAGTGAAATCCAGAACAAGCGTTTTGTCTCATTTGAGAATTGTCAGCTGGATGTATCTGCATCTCAGAGTTGATATTCACCCTGAGGTTCGAACCCAATACCATTCGTTTTAAACGTCATCGCGTTTCAACTCTGAGATGCAGGTGCATCAAGTTGACGAGTCCCAAATGGGACGAAACGCGCGTTCTGAATTCCATGGCTAACCACTATTAATCTTTGGTGGTGATCAATCTGTCAAAACAACCACTAACTATTAATCTTTGCTTAAAAAGCTTGTGACTTAAGGCTATTTTGAGGCAATCCGCACAGGATGTACATATGCCAACAAGAGGCTGATCAATTGCAGTCCTAAATAACAATGGGAAGATACAGGTAAGTAACATCAAGTGAATGTATCAAATCCAAACTTGGCATCGATTTCATTGATTGTCTTACAATTAACTGTTACAACTATCATTTCACTTAATCCTTTGTATAAATTCATTTTTCGACAAAGTAGCAAACCTATTTTAATAATGATTGATTAAAGATAGTATTTTTTCGAACAATGTACTTCACATAAACTGATCAAATATTTATATGTAAAAAAAAATAAAGGTCAACCAGACAAACTGAATGACTGACTGAAGTGAAGATATTTGAGAAAATTAGTATGAATTATGGCACTCTAAACAATAAATCAATATTATCGGGATAATTTTAGTACAAGTACAAACAAACAGAACATAGAAAAGAGAACTTGAAATTTGGTTGAATAAGACTTCAAAAAGCTCAGAGTGTTTTCTCGTAACAACGTTTATGTAAAACAATAAAAATATTAAATGAAAATATTATATTTAAAATAGTCTAAACGATTGAATTTTAACTAGTAGTGAGGTTAGATACAGGGTATTAGGGAATGATGGTAAATCACTTGTTGAGGTTGTGAATCTATATCGACTGAGATAGTTGGGCCACGTGTTACGTATGCCTGAACACCGATTACCACGACGCACAATGCTGATTAGTGTTTGAAACAGTTGGAAGAAAGTTAGAGGCAGTCAAACCAAAACATGATATCAGTCCTTGAAGTCACTGACTTCTATAGTCTGAACCATGTTGCTAAATGCAGACCACTTGGTTGGGGTCTGCGTGACTCTGCAGACATAGCTCAGAATTGATCACAATAACGTTAGTGTTTACACTCTTTGTCTTCCCTTAAACCGTGAGGTTAAAGTCGCTTCATATCTTTCTTTCTACGAACTAATTCTTTTTCCCTGTATTATATCCTTATATGCAATCTTTCTTTTATATATTACTACCATTGATGTCACTACTTCTATGAATTTAGTGTTCATCTTGTTGTGCTAGGGAGCTGTGGTAACCTGAATCGATGCATATATGTGCCTGGTCCTTTGTTGTAACTGACTGACTAACTGAATCAATTATTTTCCTGAAATATTTCAGACCGATTAGCCTAGAGAAATATTGGAATTATTATAAAATTAATTATGTACAATTATTTCAAATATAATTTTCATATTTTATTTCTTCCATATAATCCATATTCAATATTTGTTAAACTATTCCACTGAAATCTTAACAGTTGTTCAGATGTAAATAAGAAAAAAAACTGATTTTTTTCACTGTATCTTAGATAATAAAGGAGAAATGTATTTGTAAAATCTAAGCGAATAATTGAAATTAAGTCTAACATTTTTGTAAGCAATGATGGATAGTAGCTAGCAATAGAGTCCAGGATGCGCGTTTCGTCCTATTTGGGGCTCGTCAGCTGGGTGTACCTGCATCTCAGAGTTGATATTTACCCTGGGACTCGAACCCAGTACCATTCACTTCAAACGCCATCGCGTTATCTGTGGTGGTCGGTATTTGATATAATCCTTAAACTTCGTATACAGTTCGTCACGATAACCGTTCTATATAACGTACCAACGGTATATTAATCAGAAGGCCAATACGAAGTGTCGATTACGTTTATTGCGAAACCACACACATATATCCAAATGTACAGATGTGTTAAACAAGCATAGAAGAGTTGTGCCGAAAGGCAAGCAAGCGAACGAGAGCCAGAGCAAGAGCGTGACGAGACCGTGCGAGCGAGTGAGCGATTGTGTTCAATATGAATAACATGGACATATATATACCATGTGAAATGAATGAGTAATCGAATCGAATAAGCGGTTAGTGGTAAGATTAGCAGAGTGAATAAATGCGTAGGCAGTAATCAATATTCAAGCAAACGTATTTCATACAAGCGCAAAATAATAATAAGGATACAATAAATTGTCATAGCGCGGATGGCTTTGTCCGCTAAATAAGTT